CCCTTCCGAGTGTAACAGCATTTGAAATGCAAACCAACACGTTCACATATTCCTTCAGGGCAAAGCTCTGAAAAACTCCCAAGACAAATCCTGTCCCCAAACACATTCAATACCAATTCATGGAGCAACAGTTCCACCTCTAGATAGTCAGAGTTCAAAACCAACCAAGTTTATTATTTGACCAAAGAACCTAAAGAAAAGTCTAGCTCAGTATCGACGGCTTGCTAAGGTGGTTGTTGGAACTTCAAATCCATTTGCATCAAAACCTCAGCATCAAAAATCAGCTCTATGGGATGATGATTATCTAGATCAAAGTAATATAGTTTATCCTGGTGGCCTACTTCTGTAATTCCCAGAGAACTTCGGTGAGCCTCCAAGACCCCCTGAACTTTCTCAATTCCATCTAGAGGATGAAACTCAAACTCCAGAGACCGCTGAGGAGATCTAATCTTCTTCATTCCAGCAAGAAGCCCAAGAATAATCCCCTGAGGAGGGAGAATCGTCTTCAACCCAACAGAAGGTACCACCTCAGCCTCCACAGCCTCCTGAGCAGGTTGAACTTTCTTCAACATAGCAGGAGGCCCCAGGTAAACAGCTACCTGATACTGAAGAGGTTGTAGCTGAGCCGTCAATAGATCACGAAGTAAATGTTCCATCTCCAAGTCAGACTGCAGCTAAGCACTCGGTCTTGTCCAGAGTCACAGTTAAACCTGTGGATCTAGAGCTTACAGTAACTCCAGAGCCAGGTAACAACATTAAATCTATTTCAAGTCGGAAGCAGGCCCCAGCTCAGCCTGGAGAGCACCCTGAGGAGGTAGAACCGTCCTCAACCAACAAGGGGGCCCAGCTCCTGAGGAGTTTGAACCTCGCTCAAGCCAACAAGAAGGCCCAGTTGAAACACCACAGCTACCTGAGGAGGTTGAACCTTCTCACACACAGGAGGAGACCCCAGCTGAGTCTGCAGGCTTTCCCGTGGAGGCTGAGCCCTCCCCCAGTGAGCAGGAGCAGCCACCCCAACCTTCTGAGCTTCCTGGAGAGAGTGAACCTTTGGAAACCGAACAGGAGGCCACAGATAAAACTCCAGAGTCCCCTGTGGAGAGTCTGGCACAAACTCCACGGAATCGTGAGGACACGATTCAACCTCTTCATGATAAACTGCCCCAAGTTACAGTTAAACCTCCAGATGTCGAGGTTACTGTAACTTCAGAGCCTACCAAGGAGACTGAATCTTCTGCAGCACAGCTGGAGTCTCCAGCTCAGCCTTGAGAACACCCGGAGCACGTGGAACCTCATCCAATCTAGCGGGAACAACCAGCTCAGTCTCCGGAGGATCATGAAGTAACAGTTTCACCTCCAGATAACGATCAAACACGGAATTAAGACTTGCCCAATGTTACATCTCCAGATCTGCAGCTCACCATAACAGGAGAGCCTACTACACAGGTGGAAACTTCTCCAATCCACCAAGAGCCTACAGCTCAGCTCTCAGGGACAGTGAATGGGGTGGCACCTTCTGCACCCCAACAGGAGGCCCCAACTCAGCCTTCAGAGCTCCCTAACGAAGTTGTAGCTCAACCTCCACAGCATCATGACGTAAAAGTTTCTGAAGTTCAGCCTCCAATGTTACCCAATGTCACTATAGAACCTGTGGATCATGTGGTGAGCACAACTGCAGAGTTCACTGATGAAGCTGAAATTCCAACCCCACAGGAGGCCACAGCTCAGTCTTCAGTGTCCCCTCAGCAGTTTAAAGCTTTGAGAGCTCCAGAAGAGGTTGTAATTCAGTAGCCAAACTTCCCTGAAAAGGGTGAACATTCTCCAATCCACCAAGGGGTCCCAACTCAGCCTCAAGAGCTTCATGAGGAACCATCTCGAACCCAGCAGGAAATCTCAGCATTACCTCAAGAGCCCCCTGTGGGTGTTGGACCTTCACCAGGCCAGCAACAGTCCACAACTCAGCCTCCAGCATCCCATACAGTGTTTAGTCCAACTGGTGATACAATGACATTTTCACCTCTAGATCTGTCTATGATTTTCAGAGGTCATTCAATGTTGCCTAAAACCACAGCTAAACATGTGGATTTGGAGATTACCATAACTACAGGAGAGCCCACTAGAAATGCCGAGCCTTACCAGTCTAGTGGGAGGGCACTGCTCAGTCTACAGTTTCCACTGAACAGGCTGAATTTTCTGCAACCCAGTCTGATCCCTATCCCCACTTCAGGATCCCCCGGAAACGTTTCAATCTTATCTAGCCCAGCGAGAAGCCACAGCTCAGCCTCCACATGGCCCTAAGGAGTTGGTACGTTCTCCAGACCAACAGCAGGCCCCAGCTGAGCCGCCAGCGTCCCCGAAGGAGGTTGAACGATCTGGAGCCCAGCAGGAAGCCTTGGGCCATCCTCCGAAGCCCACAGAAGAGGTCAGACCATCTCCACCTCATCAGGAGTTTCCAGCTCAGCCTTCAGAGACCCCTAAGGTCTTGACCTTCAGTGAATTATGAGATGACAGTTTATCACTAGGTGAGGATCAAGCCCAGTACACAACACTGGCCACTGTCAGAGTTCAACCTTTGGATCCGTGGCTGACCATAACTCCAGAAAACACTACAAAACTGAAACTTTCTTCAATCAGGCAGGAGTCCCCAGCTCAACCGCCAGACACCTAAGGAAGTTGTTGTAGCTCATCCCCCAACATCTCAGGAGATTGACTTCCAACACCAGGACAGGATGAAGCGCAGTATGCAACATTGCCCACTGTCACACGTCAACCTTTGCACCTAGAGCTGACCATAACTCCAGAACCTACTATGGAGGTTGAAACTCCAGAATCCCATGTGGAGAGTATAGACCCAACTCCACGAAATCATGAGGTGACACATCAACCTCATCATTATAACTTGCCCCATGTTACAGTTAAACCTGCAGATTGGAGGTTACCATAACTTCAGAGCCTACGAAGGAGACTGGATCTTGTCCAACCCAGCAGGAGGCCGCAGTTGAGCCTCCAGAGCATCTAGAGGAGGTGGAACATACTGCCACCCCGGAGGAGACCCCCGCTGAGTCTGCAGGCTTTCCCGTGGAGGCTGAGCCTTCCCCCAGTGAGCAGGAGGAGCCACCTCAACCTTCTGAGTTTCCTGGAGAGAGCGAACCTTCGGAAACCGAGCAGGAGGTCACAGATAAAACTCCAGAGTCCCCTGTGGAGTGTCTAGCTCAAACTCCACCGAATCGTGAGCAGGCGATTCAACCTCATCATTATAACTTGCCCCACGTTACTGTTAAACCTCCAGATGTCGAGGTTACTGTAACTTCAGAGCCTAGCAGGAAGACTGAATCTTCTGCAGCCCAGCTGGATTCTCCAGCTCAGCCTTCAGAACACCCTGAGGAGATGGAACCTGCTCCAATCCAGCAGGAGCAACCAGCTCAGTTTCTGGAGGATCATGAAGTAACAGTTTCACCTCCAGATAACCATCAAACTCAGCATTGAGACTTTTCAATGTTACGTCTCCAGATGTGCAGCTCACCATAGCAGGAGAACCTACTATACAGGTGGGAACTTCTGCAATCCACCAAGAGCCTACAGCTCAGCTCTCAGGGACAGTCAATGGTGTGGTACCTTCTGCACCCCAACAGTAGGCCCCAACTCAGCCTTCGGAGCTCCCTAACGAAGTTGTAGCTCAACCTCCAGAGCATCATGAGGTAACAGTTTCTGAAGTTCAGCCTCCAATGTTACACGTCACTATAAAACCTGTGGATTATATGGTTAGCACAACTGCAGAGTTCACTAATGAAGCTGAAATTCCAACCCCACAGGAGGCCCCAGCTCAGTCTTCGGTGTTCCCTCAGCAGTTTAAACCTTTGAAAGGTCAAGAAGAGGTTGTAATTCAGCAGCCAAACTTCCCTGAAAAGGATCAACATTCTCCAATCCATCGAGGGCTCCCAACTCATCCTGCAGAGCTCTTGAGGAACCATCTCCAAGCCAGCAGGAAACTCAGCATTACCTCAAGAGCCCCCTGTGGGTGTTGGACCTTCACCAGGCCAGCAACAGCCCACAACTCAGCCTCCAGCATCCCATACAGTGTTTAGTCCAACTGGTGATGTAATGACATTTTCACCGCTAGATCTGTCAATGATTTTCAGAGTTCATTCAATGTTGCCTGAAACCAGTTAAACATGTGGTTTTGGAGATTACCATAACTACAGCAGAGCCCACTACAAATGCCGAGCCTTACCCAGTGCGAGGGCACTGGTCAGTCTACAGTTTTCACTGAACAGGCTCAATTTTCTTCAACACAGTTCGATCCCTTTTCCCCACTTCATGATCCCCTGGAAACGTTTGAATCTTCTCTAGCCCAGCGAGAAGCCACAGCTCAGTCTCCACATCCCCGTAAGGAGTTAGTATGTTCTCCAGTCCATCAGGAGGTCCCAGCTGAGCCTCCTGCAACCCCTAAGGAGGTCCAACCATCTTGGAGCCAGCAGGAAGCCTTGGGCCGTCCTCCAAAGTCCACAGAATACGTAAGACCGTCCCCACGTCATCATGAATTTCCAGCTTATCCTTCAGAGATCTCTAAGTTCTCAACCTTCAGTGAATTATGAGATGACAGTTTCATCACTAGGTCAGGATCAAGCCCAGTATACAACACTGCTCACTTTCAGATTTCAACTTTTTAACCTGTGGTTTCCCATGACTCCGGAACGCACTATAGAGGTCAAACTTTCTTCAATCATGTAGGAGACCCCAGATCAACCTCCAGAGACACTTAAGAAAGTTGTTGTAGCTCAACGCCCAATATCTGAGGAGACTGACTTCCAACACCAGGTCAGGATCAAGCCCAGTATCCAACATTTCCCACTGACACACTTCAACCTTTGGACCTAGTGCTGACCATAACTCCAGAATCCACTATGGAGGTTGAACTTTCTCCAACCAGCCTAGAGACCGCAACTCAACCTCCAGAGACACCTAAGGAAGTTGTTGTAGCTCAACCCCCAATATCTCAGGAGGTGAACTTCCAACACCAGGTCAGGGTCTAGCCCAGTATCCAACATTGCCCACTGTCACAGTTCAACCTTTGGACCTGGAGCTGAGCATAACTCCAGAGCCCACTACAGAGGTTGAACTTTCTCCAACCATCAGGAGACCCCAACTCAGCCTCCAGAGCTGCCTAAGGAGGTTGTAGCTCCTGTGTATTATGAGATAGCAGTTCCAACACCAAGTCAAGCTCAGGCTCAGCATCCAGCGTCACCCAGTGTCACAGTTCAACATTCGGACCTGGAGTTCACCACGATTTCAGTATCCACCACGCAGGCTGAACATCCTGTTGCCCTGGAGAAGGCTGTAGCTCCACTTCCAGACCACGTTCAGACTCGGCCTCCAAACCTGCCTGAAGTTACAGTTCAACCTTCTGAGATGGATTCTACTGTAAATCACATCTCGGAACAGAGTGCCACCACATATGCCACCAACATATGCGAGCTCTGTACCTGCAAAGATGAGACGATGTCGTGTGTTGGTCTCAGCCCAAAGCAGAGGCTCCGCCAAGTGCCTGTGCAGGAGCCTAACGCCTATAATGGCACCTTCACCGTCTTGTAAGCATCACCTCTCCTCCTTTGTTCTCTGCACCCTGCCTCGTGTGGCAGCATTGTCCTTGAGACCTTCCTGGACCACCTTCATTGACTGACTTTCTCCTTTTACCTTTTACTTGTCAACTTTTCCTTGTCCTCATTCTCCTTCTTACTATTGTGCCCCTTCTCCAAACTTTTACTTGTGATGACTCTTACTTGTTCCTTAACCATTTTTATTTGGCCCTGTCATATCCTTGCTTAACCTCTGCCCCCGGTGTTTGCTCCACTCTCTTCACAGCGGCATGTCCCTCTCCCCGTCACATTAGTGATGATGCAACAAGGTGGTTAAGAGTGGGTTCTGGAGCCAGACTGCCTGAGTTTGAACTGAGGCCTGTTGTTTATTAGCTTTGTGACTTTGGGCAAGTTATTCTGCTCTGTGACTCAATTTCCTCATCTTTAAAATGGGGATTATGATAGTTACCATTTCATAGGATTGTTGTGAGATTTAGGTGAGTACATGTAATACGTGTATCAGTGCCTGGCATACAGACGACTGTTAGCTGCTATTATTATTCAGTTCCTTAGTTATATCCAGAACTCATCTTTGTACCTGGCTTTCTGTATGTAGCAGCCATTTTGTGCCTAACCCAGGGCAAAGAATGACATTGTCTCTAGATCATGAAAATGATAGGTGGGAAGAAAGGGAATAGGCATAACAAGGGAGGTGATTGATAATTAAGTACTACGAGAGATGCAGACCAGAGGCGCCATCATTCACCAGAATCTACAATCCCTGAGGTGTGGAGGTCAGGGGAAAGCTCCCTGCATAAGCTGAAACTTTACCTGGGGCTTAAAGAGTGGCTATAATGTGTTAAATAGAAAGAAAATTAGGGAGTAAAGCCTAGGCAAAGACATGGCTGCAGAAATGATGGGCATTTAGTAGATCAGTCTGGCTGCAAAGAACTGGGTTAGGAAGCAATGAAAGACGTGATTTTGAAAAACCTTGAACATCAGATGTGGGGGTTTGAAAGTTATGCGATGAGGTACGGAAAGCCATTGAAGGTTCTCAAGCGAGAGAGAGAAATGACTAAGACGGGAGGATTATTTTAGGATCCACATGTAGAGCGCTCTAGAGGGGGAAGCTTAACTCGGGGGGACCAAATAGAAAGCTCTAGCAAAATCTAGGAGGAAAGTGAGAAGGGGCTGACTCTGAGTGGCTGTGACAGGAGTGGGAAGAAAGTCCTGGCAGCACGAAAAACAGAACAGACAGAATTTAATGATCAACCAGGGAGTCGGGTGATGGTGTGTACAGGGAAGGGAGAAATCGAAGGTGACTCCAGGG